GTAGGCAGCGAAGAAGAGAGAGGGGTGCACATAGCTTTTTAATTTTTAGTATCTTAATTCTTAATTTTGTTCCACTGATATTTGTTTATGCCAATATTATATTTTCTAGATTAGTAGCTTTATATGCTTTGACGTCAGGTAGGTAGATTCTTCTAATATTATTTTTTATTTAAATTAGCACTGTTTTTAAAGTACCTTTTCTTTTTATATAAATTTAAAAATCACTTTACTGAGTTCAACAAAATGAGAGATTGATAAATATGATGGAAATTTTATCTTAGCAATACTGTCTTCCATTTTATGTACATTGTATGCATTGTCCCACTTATTTATATGTTCTTTATGGGTCCTGGTAATACTGTAGTGTAAGAACATATGCTGTAAACACACTTGTTTTAAATAATCATTTGGCTTTTAAAGACAAAAGAAAACAAGAAGTCTTCTGATTTTTTTTTTCTTCATCCTGAAGACTTTTGGTTAGCCTGTTTTTGTAGTGTAGTTCTAGTGTGATAACTTCTCTCAGTTTATGTTTATCTGAAAAGTCTTTATTTCACATCAGTGTTTAAAGGACATTTTTATTGTTTGTAGAATCTTGGGCAAGTTTTTCCTTTCCTTTCTTCTTCTCTTTCCTTCCTTTCTTCCTTGTTCCTTCTTTCTTTCATCGTGCCATTTTCATCTAGGATGATTGTTTCTGAAGATACGTTAGTTCTCTGTATGTAATATGAAGGTAAATCAACAAGTATTGCTACTAGGGTTCCAGTTCTTACTTGCATGGGATTATTTCAAACAAAATATGTTTAGGCATGTTTCAGGAATTAGTGAATGGATGAAAACAAGTTCCCTCTGCAATATACTTGTCTTAGTCTCATTAAGGAGTCTTGTTGTGGTGCTGTGGGGTAATGTATTGGACCACAAAGTCTGTTTGAACTGCTAGGTCGGTGGTTCAAATTCACCAGCCATTCCTTGGAAACCCTATACAGGGTTGCTATGAGTTGGAAATGACTTGAAGGCACTTGACAACAGCAAGAATAATAAGTATCAGTAGGGACTTCAATAAACAAGGCCTATACAAAACAGTGGCTCCTGAGGACCAGTTAAATTCAAGGCAGAAAGACAGCTCAGACGGTTATGAAGACTGTTTTCAGGTATTTCAAAGAAGTAATTATAATAAGGTTTCTCAAAGGCCACAGGACAATTAATTATGGAGGCTTATGAGGAAAGAGTTTTAAGAAAA